TACCAAGAAAAAAATGTGTTTAATGTATTATTATCCGTGGATGTTGTTAACATTCGTGTTAAAAAAAGTGAAGGGAAGGGGGCAAAGGTTGAAAAAAAAATACAAAAAGCGGAACACAAAATCCAAGAAATTGTCCCTAACGGCTTAAATAATACTAATCATTACTTTGGGGGACTAAACAGGGTCTTACAAAGGGCTGCTTTCCCATTACAACTCTTGCGTTTGACAATGAGAGCTAATAATAACAGCAAAAACAACAACAACTTTGGGGGACTAAATAGGGTCTTACAAAGGGCTGCTTTCCCATTATAACTGATGTGTAGCAATGGGAGCTAGTAACAACAACTACTACTACCACTACTACTACGGGGGACTCTCCTCTCTCTCCCTCTCCTCCAATGGCGCCAGGGAAGCCGCAAGAGAGTAAGGGCAAGGGTGTTGGCCTCCTTCCTTCTCTCCCTCTCCTCCTCTCTCCTCCAATGGTGGGACACACCCCTGGCCACAGGCCTTATTTTAGGCCTTGTGGCCCACCAATAAAACTGCACAGATAAATGCACTCATATGGAAGCAAGCAATTGGAATAAAATTGGATTTATAAAACAATTTTAACTGAAGAAGGTGGCCAAGGGCTACCTGAGCAGACTGTGGATTAACTGAATGTGCACAGAATCCTAAGAAACTACTTAGGACTCTCTTCACCCAGGCTTAACGTAAAACCAGACTCATGGCTGTGACCCTGGAGACATCTAACTCCTTCCTAAGCTCCACCTCTTACTCCTCTTCTGGCAGATCTTAGCCAAGAGAGCAATTTTGCCAACAGATTTCTCTGTCAGTCCATCAGCTAGCAGAAAAGGCTTATATTTAATCATATTCCCTTGGCACAAGTAACTCTTTGTGTTGGTTCCAAACAAATTTTCACAAGATTACACAGAAAGAACGAGATGGGCTTCCTTGTAACCACAAACTGAATTGGAGACAAAGACCTGCCAAAATGTATGGACACATGGTTCACTTGCTTTTGGTGGGAGTTCATGGACAACTTTATTGCAAGGTGCCAACAGTAGCTTTTTCTATGAAAACTACCATACTAAAAGGCACCAGTTAAAGGAAAGAAGACAATAGTCAAAAGGCAATTGTTTCTGTATTTGTTTTCTGATGGAATGTTTTAAATGAAATCAATGTGCATAGTGCTTTTACGGGGTAACATGTGAGGATTTATTTTTAAAAGACTATGGGGAAAAGCAACAGCAAATAACAAGTAAAAATAATGTGAAAATGTGTGCACGGATGGAAGATAACCTCGTCAATGGATACAAAAGCATTAAAAAACAAGTTTGGAAAGAGAAATGGGGCTGCTTGTCTACTTGTGTCTACACTATCAAAAAACCTAATGATCATAACAAAAATGGGGGAAAACATGATCACAGAAAGAAAGGGCATTTTAATTTCAAAACTGTTAGTATCTATTCCAATATTAAATTAACAGATTTATTCTTGCAGGGTATTAAGATTTATTTATTTATTATTTAAAACTTTTATATCCTGATCTTCTCTACCTCCGTAGAGGGACTCAGATCGGCTGACAGCAAAAAACCACCTCAGCGAAGGTAAGGAGGTGCAGAAAGCCTAAACCTGATCAGGTGATGGTCGGTCCATGGCAATGGAGCGATCGAAAGCTCCTCCACACCACCATCATTCTCCCATCCCTGGCAGAAAACCAAGTCCAATGTGTGTCCAGCACAGTGGGTAGGGCCAGATACTAGTTGGGACAGCCCCATAGTTGCCATGGTGGCCATAAAGTCCTGAGCCGCTCCTGAAAGGGTGGACTCCGCGTGGACATTGAAGTCCCCCCAGCACTAAAAGCTGCTGGGTCTCCAATGCCAGGCCCAAAACCACCCCTGCTAGCTCAGGTAGGGAGACTGTAGTGCAGCAGGGTGGTCGGTACACTAACAGAATCCCTAATCTGTCCCGGTCTCCTAATTTCAGGTGGACACATTTGAATAGAGTTGACTGCGGGATGGGGCACCTGATCAGGGAGATGGAATCTTTATAGACTACTGCAACTCTGCCTCCCCACCCCCCAGATCTCGGCTGATGCTGCACGGAGTACCCTGGAGGACAAAGCTGGGTGAGATTAACTCCTCCAGATTCATCCAACCAAGTCTCCATTATACATACAAGATCCACCAAATATTCTTTTGAATAATTTCCCCCTCTATAACAATAAGAGGGGAACTTCTCACTTGAATCTGGTAAGACATACATGTAAAAGTGCATGGTGATTACTTGCCTTCAGTAAGAGAACCTCATCTATTTTTCTCAATGACTCTTAGTACTGAGAATACAGAATGGAAGTAAGCCCAAAGAAGCCATCCAAGCAGATACACAACTAGTCTTCTACGTAACACAAAGAGTGTTCCATTATTTCTTTACAGAAAGTAAACAATTATCAAATCACACATAAAACACAAGGTGCAGCATTACCACCCCTAGGAGATGCAACCAGATAACACATACATATTTTGTTTTGTTCCCTGTTGATACATTTGGGCGATAGTTGTAGATACAGAGGGGGGAAAGGGTATTTAGTCAGATAGCAATTGTACAAGTTCTCCCACTTTAAAAGATGAGAGAGACCTGTTATTGACATCATAGGTAGACCTCAACTATGAGAGACAACATAAGAAAATGCATCCAGAAAATCACATTGTCTGATTTTTAACGAATTTATTTGCAAATTATGGTGGAAAATAAGTATTTGGTCACCTACAAACAAGCAAGATTTCTGGGTCTCACAGACAGGCTCCTCTGCCCTCCACTCATTATCTGTAGTAATGAACTTGTTATTGGTATAAAAGCCACCAGTCCACAACCTCAAGCAGTCACACTTCAAACTCCACTATGGTGAAGGCCAAAGAGCTGTCGAACGACACCAGAAATAAAATTGTCACCCTGCACCAAAATGGGAAGACTGAATCTGCAATAGGCAAGCAGCTTGGAGTGAAGAAATCAACTGTGGGAGCAATAATTAGAAAATGAAAGAGATACAAGACCACTGATAATTTCCCTCGATCTGGGGCTCCATGCAAGATCTCACCCCGTGGGGTCAAAATGATCACAAGAACGGTGAGCAAAAATCCCAGAACCACACTGGGGAACCTAGTGAATGACCTAGAGAGAGCTGGGACCAATGTAACAAATGCTACCATCAATAACACACTACGCTGCCAGGGACTCAGATCCTGCAGTCCCAGACGTGTCCCCCTGCTCAAGCCAGTACATGACCAAGGGCCACTGAAGTTTGCTAGAGAGCATTTGGATCATCCAGAAGAGTATTGGGAGAATGTCATATGGTCAGAAGAAACCAAAGTAGAACTGTTTGGCAGAAACACAACTCGTCATGTTTGGAGAAGAAAGAATGCTGGGTTGCATTCAAAGAACACCATACCTACTGTGAAGCACGGGGGTGGCAACATCATGCTTTGGGCTGTTTCTCTTCAAAGGGACCAGGGCGACTGATCTGTATACATGAAAGAATGAATGGGGCCATGTATGGTGATAATTTGAGTGCAAACATCCTTCCATCAGCAAGGGCACTGAGGATGAAACGTGGCTGGGTCTTTCAGCATGACAATGATCCCAAGCACACTGCCAGGGCAACAAAAGAGTAGCTTCGTAAGAAGCATTTCAAGGTCCTGGAGTGGCCTAACCAGTCTCCAGATCTCAACCCTATAGATAACCTTTGGAGCGAGTTAAAAGTCCGTGTTGCCCAGCGACAGCCCCAAAACTGCTCTTGAGGAGTTCTGCATGGAGGAATGGGCCAACATAAATTAAAAGAAGCAATATTCTTGCTTCTTGGCAGGGGGTTGGACTGGATGGCCCATGAGGTCTCTTCCAACTCTTTGATTCTATGATTCTACCAGCAACAATGTGTGCCAACCTTATGAGGACTTACAGAAAAGTTTGACCTCTGTCATTGCGAATAAAGGTTATAAGATGAACTTTTGTTATGGACCAAATACTTATTTTCCACCATAATTTGCAAATAAATTTGTTAAAAATCAGACAGTGTGATTACTAGATGTGTTTTCTCATGATGTCAATTACAGGCCTCTCTCATATTCTTAAGTGGGAGAACTTGTATAATTGGTATCTGACTAAATACTCCCCCCCCCCCCCCACTGTATATGCCTTGAATCCAGATATGTCTTGGATCCAGAAGGTTCTGGATTTAATCTCTGGCACTTCAAACAGGTATACATAAAGAATTCTGCTTGAAAAGCAGTGCTAGCTTCTACTAGCCAGTGTTGACAAGATTCATTTATAGGAAACCTCAGTACAAATTGATAGAAGGCACTTTCCAGTGCTCCTAGTTTGGGAATGACTGCTCCAATCACACCTAGTTTTTTCTAATCAAGAAAGAGAATGGGCAAATGTGTCAACTGATTTGTTCCTCCACCAAATATCAGCTGCTGGTAATCTAATTAATTATGTAAATACTCACATTAGAAAATATGGTAGAGAACAAGGTGTATTACATGGTTACTTACAAAACCTGTATAACCAAGCATGTTCTGGTTAAACAAAGTGACCAGGAAGTATTTCATTCTCCAAAGCATTTGTTCAAAGTAGCAATATGTGAACCAATTTTTGAATTAGTATGCACACACAGAAAAGGATCCCAAATTTCGACAAGTATCATATTTTAGTCTGTTATCATTCCTTTTTTCTTGCAACCACACCTGAATGCATGCCAGTAAACACTGGAATTAAAATATCTGGTTTCGATGTAAGTTCATTTTAGCTGGTGTCTTCTCCTTTAAGCAGACTTCAATCCTCAATCCCCTCTAGTGCTACAGAAGAAGGCCCCCATGTGCCTTTGTTTTAGTTCCTCTCTTGGACTATTTGAAGCCAGGCGTTTTTATCACTGAAGGAGGCAATCTTTTCTTATTTGTGGCAGGAGCTCTACAAATAATCTAAAGGGAGCATAGGAGACTTACACTGGTCACTCGACGGTAGATCTGCGCAGCATTTTGACATTCAGAATAAGGATATTCAGACGTAGCCATCTCAAGCATACACATCCCAAAAGCATACACATCAACGGATTCATCGTATTTCTCCTCATACATCTCAGGTGCCATGAACTCTGGGGTACCTTAAATTAAAAGAACGATTCAGACTCTAAATGTCTCAAAGCGAGCAGAGGTTGCTGGCGTTACTCACCGCTGAAGGGTGCAGATGGGTAGACCTGTGAGAAAAGAAGTGGAGGCAAAAAGAAGAGGGAGGACACCCTCAGTCATTCTTTTTCACCAACATATCCAATGGATTTTCTATTGCAAGGCCTTTGCAAGAAGTGAGGAACTGGTTTAAAGATTTATATTTCACTGTTTATGAATACTACTGTACATTATAATGGAAAAGAATCAGGAACAAAACAGAAGGCTTCAGTTGTAATGAACAAACTAAAGCTAAACCTCAGGTGACATATAAATGGAGTAAAATAAAAGTGAGAGACTAGCTATGTTGCAAACCAGATACATGTTAGCCACACTTACCTTTCCTCCCTGAGAACAAGGAGGTACAACAATCCTTTCAGCATACCTGCCTGCCATCTGCTGTAAAGAATTAGTACTGGTAAGAGTCCACAGCTAGTGTCTGACTTGTAACACTCCATTGACTTCTCAATTGTGTCACTTTAAACAAAGCCTTGCAATGGAAAACCCGATGTCTATGAATAAGGGCTCCTTAAAATTTAATTTTTAAGAAATTTTCTGCAAAGGCCACTCACCAGAGCCCTTTTCACATACTTACCATTTCACCTGCAGTACATTTTATAGGTCTACTGCAGATACAGGAAATAGTGAGGGACATCCTACAGGCAAAAATACTCAGAAATATAGAGAAATTCAGTTATAGACACGGAGCGTGGGATTCAACAAACGCTGATTAAGAAACGACTCTCAGAAAATGCATTATCCCTCAAATATAAAAAGCCATAGCACCTTGCCATGTGTTGAGAAGCTACACTCTATATTCAGAGACACTTAGAGCCAGATATTGCATATTTATATTAAGGAAAGGATTGTTTCCTGCAGGCAGACTAGATCTGGTGCAAGTAAGTTTTCCAATCTCTCCCGTGGTTTAATAATGTACAAACCACAATTTAAAATAAACACACTAATGCAATTGTTTAAAAAAAATCAGAATATGGCCGTTTTCCAATTGAAAGCCAAACACAACACATGGAAAGGAGATTTTGGGTTGAGGAAGTTAATCATTTCCCTCTGAGTGTTCTTCCTTTTCCACCAACAGATTAATATTTGTAGACTGGCTGGAAAGCAGGAAATGTTTCATTATGACAAATACCAAGATATTTGCAAATGTGGATCTATACGCCCTGAAAGCAAGTATTAAAAGATGCAAAACGGGTCTTCAAAAATGGCGATTGATTGCATTTATAATATACACACACAGGAAGATGCAGACTAAGAAGGAGCAAGCTCTCTACTTTTAGCCCACATACTTTATACACACAGTAGTAGAACAGAGCTGATAAAACAGATTATCTGTTAATAGTCTTAGACTAGCTAACAGATCTACAGCAAAAAAACTTGCAGTACCCCCAAAACTTTAGGTGAAATTCAACGTTTTCTTTGGTATATTTAAAATAATTTTAATTTGAATTTCTATGCTTTTCCTTAATACCATTCTGCAATAATTATTTTTTGTTAAAATGCAAGTTTCTTTGTTTTATCAACAGCATTCTGCTACCTATAAGAGTCTGTGCACCGATAGTTCTAGAGACAATATCCAAATACCAGGAAACCATATTTAAGAAGGTCTATGGCTCCAATGGTTTTTATAAGGGAATAATGAAAACAGCAATGAAGCAAGCATCTGAATTGTACTAAATTACCAAGGTTTTTAACTCATAGTTGCCAGAAGAGAAGTAGAACTTACCTATCACACTCTTGGCAAAAGAAGCTCGTTTCAAGGTTGCCAAACCCAAGTCTCCTATTTTGACTGATCCCGTGGGGCCCGTGATAAAGATGTTGTCACATTTCAAGTCACGATGGATAATGGGAGGAGTACGTGTATGCAAAAACTGCAAACCCTTCAGTATTTGCCGACACCAGCTTCGAAGTACTTTAATTTTCATCACTTTAAATCTTTTTAAATATCTAGGAAAGAAAAGCAAAATTCCGGATTTGAGGCTAACAACTGGATTTGGCACTAGAGGCAGAATGGTGTAATGTTTTGAGCTTTTGACTACAACTCTAGAGACAAGGGTCTGATTCCCTTCTGACCATGAATATCCACTCAGTTTACATGTGCAAGTCACACACTCTCAGCCCCAGAAGACCTATTAATAGGTTCACCTTAGGGTCACAAACAACTTGACAGTACACAAATGCAGTATGGGGTGCAATATTTATTGACCTTTTCCAGTCAACCTTTTATTTAAAAGCTGAAAACAATTTTTAAACAATTTGTAGACATTTTTTCCAAAACATAGCTATTTGACTCTATTATCTAGTAGTATACTAAAGCACACCATTTGAAAATCATCAACTATTTTGGCCTTTAAACCATTTAAATCAAATAATTTTGCTTAAAACTTATCTATTATGTTCTTTTTGCATGCTATGTTTATAAAACACTTCAGACATGATGCTAGTTTAGCATAATTTTTGAGGAACCAGCAGGCCTGGCAGGACTACAGTGCTGCCTAAAACAGTTAATTGAAGGGAAGTGGTTACTGATGAGTACCTTTTAAGTACTAAGAATATAAGCAAAGAAGTCAAAGCTGGGCCAAATTATCTCTGTAAGATGCATGTTATGGAATTGTCATGGAAAACTACGCAGTGACATCACCAAATGTGCAAGAGGTATCTGAAGTCATTGAGAAAGCAAATAGTGCCATATACACAACAATAGTGCCATATACACTCCCCCATCCTTCACATTCATGATGGCTTTCTACAATTCTCCCTCTTCGTTTTTATTCCAAGCTGAGCTCCAATTTCCCTCTGAAATTATCTAACAAATGTTTTTTACAAGGCAGTTTTCACAGCAGGATTAATGTTTGTAATGTGATTTCAAAATCCCTCCTTTGAACTGTAGAAATTGGAGTAATGGGGATTAGCATCAATCATCCCAAACTGGCAGCTGTCCAAATGATTCTATCAGAACATGCTCTTACAATGAAGTGGATAAGTAACATGCATGCGACTGCTGTGGAATAACCATGATAATAATCTATTGTAAGTTCATATTCACTAGTTGCAGAATTCCAAGCACCTGATCGTGACAGGGGAGACATATTTTGAACTTTATATGAAAAATATGTGAAGCAACCAGGCCTGTCATTGTTCCAAGTCTGGGGAGGCAATTTTGGTATAGGACGTATTTTCAGGCTAAAAGAGTTTCATCAAGAAATTAGAATGTTTTCTTGGAGCTGGGAAATACTGGGGATATGTCTAAAGAAGCAGTTCTCAAACTATGCTCAGCAGAGCCCTTAGCGCTCCACGAAGCAAAGTCAGGGCCCCTGTGGGACTCCCCACTGTCTAGGAAGCATGTGGCTTGTGGAGCCCCACTGGCACCGCCTACGGGGTCTCTCTGCTGCCGCAACCTATGAGGCCTCTTTGCCACCACGCAGCCTACAAGGGTTCCTCACGGCTGCTTGCGCGCAGGAATAATACCATATGTGCAAATCACGGTGACCACGTGGGGAAATTATTATTATTGCAAAGGCTGGATGGTCATCTGTTGGACGTGCTTTGACTGTGTTTTCCCTGCAACGCAGATGGAGGTTGGACTGTATGGCTGCTGATGTCCTCTACTGAAATACTGTTAAGTTTATGTTGGTTAAAATTGTTCTTCATTTTAAATATTGTATTGTTTTTTCTTTCTTTTGCACTAAAAACAAGATATGTTCAGTGTGCATAGGAATTTGTTCCTTTTTTCAATTAGTTCACACAAACAGTCTCCGTCCATCTGCCACTGGCCTGGTCCATCTGTCAAATTTTAAAATGCAATGCAGACCCTGTGTCCAAAATTTCTTCGGGCTCCACAAGCATCTTTTTAATTCAAAAAGGGCTCTGTGACTTTAAAAGTTTGAGAACCCCTGCTCTAGAGAGTAAGTGGACAATGAGTTTATTCAGAGACAGAGCATTTTCATCCTTCCAGATTTCCAACCAGAAGCCAAATGTTCAGAAACCTCTGATAGTACTGACTGAGACTACATTCACATACTAGAGATAATGAGACAGAACTGCATACAAAACTCACCACCCTAAAAAGAAAGTTTAACCATCTTATCATTAGTATGCAAACAATGCCATCAGCAAGCATCCCAGAAGAACATTAAGATCTTCAAGGAATCTTAATTGCTGGATCTATCTAAGCAAAAACAAATTCAAAACTTGAATAAGCCCTGGCTGGGTTCCTCTGACTGAAGTTACTGTGGCTAAGTAGTTGTTACAGTGACGATTGTGTTCCTTTTCCAAAAAACCAAAATGTATTTTCATTCAGACTTTGACATTGCACAGTTCCTCCACTTTCCTGGAATTCCCTTTTTTAAGAGATAAGCTTGACTCCTTCTCTCTTATGTTTTTTGTATCATTGCATTAAAATATCTCTGTAACACTTTGTATCTGGAAATCTCAGGGCTTACATAAACATCTTTGAAACAATTCAGAATATTAAAAGCAACGCAAACAAATAAGAGAAAATAAAATCTACACACCAACAGACCTAAGATATGAGCTCTGAGTTCCCAAAGGCTGAGTTTTAACTTGGAGCCAAAATAAGATCAATACTAATATCTATTAAGTCTCAAAGGGAAAGATGTCCCACAATTAGAGAACCATAGTTGAGAAGTTCTTTTATAGGCATCATGTATGTTTATACGCCTTCGTGACTTATGTGTACGTTTTTCAGACATGAATTTCATAGGGTTTTCTTAGGTAAGGAGTACTCAAGAGATGGTTTTGATAGTTCTTTCTGCTGAAATATAACTACAGCATCTTGTATTCATTTGCGGTCTCTCATTCAAGGGCTAACCTTGTTTAGCTTTGAGGCTCTGACAGGATCTGATATTTTAGGCCCTGCATTCAAAATACTTCCTTTATTTCAAATCACTTTAAGATAGATAATTGCAGTTATCTGATTTGTTTTTACTAACAATAGGTAAAGGTAAAGGTAGTCCCCTGACATTAAATCCAGTCATGTCTGACTCTGGGGTGTGGTGCTCATTTCCATTTCTAAGCCGAAGAGCCAGCGTTGTCCGTAGACACCTCCGAGGTCATGTGGCCGGCATGACTGCATGGAGCGCCATTACTAACTAACAATACTAACTAACAATAGACTACTCTTAAAACAATTTATAATATGCTGGTTGTTTGGTGTGTCTCTTCTTACTTTTTAGTTGTGGGGGTTTAAACACTGATCACTTTAATATGACTTAATGGTATTTTGTTGGTTTATTGTGAAAAAAATGTTTTTCTATGAACCACTTTAGGAGGACTATTAGTCTTGGCCAAGTGACAAAAGTAGAATATATATATATTACTTACGGATGAAGCACATTACATTTTTAGCAATTTACTCTATACAGGTATAGTTAAACCACTTTTATATTCTCTCTGCAATATTATACAAGACAAAATTATCTTACTGAAGCTAGTAGAAACAATAACCCACAACCTAGAAGTAAGCAAAGCAACAGCTGTCTATACTGAGCTAGCAGTACTATGTAAAACAAAAGTTTAAAAATATAATTGAATTGGGCTTGTTAACACAGACACTTAAGTAACACAGCTTTGGCTGTTTAATTTCTTTATAATTACTGCTGAAATTGGGAAACAATTTAAAATAACACTGACTTAAAATGAAAAGATTTTATCCAAATATATTTTCAATTTGGCAATACATTATCTCTATCCAAGCACATGAAATATTCTCCTTTCATGAAAGACAGCTTTTTCCTGTAAATATCTGCCCATACACTAAGATCTTTCTCAGAACACTTCTCTGGATCCTTGTGCTTTTCACAGACAGACAAGGAAAAGTAAAATACTAAAAAGATTGTGTTTCACTTCTTTACACTGCTAAGCAAAGACCTTTAAAATTTTGGGATGTTGTGTGGCTTCCAGGCTGTCTAGCTATGTTCTAGCAGCATTTTCTCCTAATGTTTTGCCTACAATGTTTTGCCTGGCATCTTCAGAGGGTCACCCCAGGATTTCGGCAGTGAAAGCCTTCGACAATACACAGGCAGTTTCACCTGGAGTGGTTGAGAACTGGCCTGGTGGTCATTATACACAGGCCCTTCATGCTCAAAACACAGTATTGCCCCATGTTAGACAAAGTCAGGAAAAGGCTGGGACTTTCCTAAAATTCCAGAGCAGCCCTGCTCTTTGGGGTAATGTAAACAGTTGGGCTGGTTCTGATTCAGAACTGACTCCACTGTTCACACAGCCATTCCCCTTTCCCCAGTCTCTGCACCGTGGGGATAAGGGGGTGGCACCTACCTTGGTGGTCTTGTTGCCATCATCGCAGCAGACATAGAGTTTTAAAGGGCTTGCCCTGAACACCATCACTGATGTTTGCAAGGATACCTATACGACTCAGAGGGAAATTGTGCTCTCCCCTCAAGTTTAAAATGCAAAAGAAAATTGAAGTCTCTGTTTCAAGATATTAATTTTCACAGTCAAAGATATGTTTCACTGGCTCTTCCCAATATTTATTTGTTAAACTTCCCATAAAATACCTACTATTTCCACTAACCTTTAGAAGACCTTTTGCATAACTTAACACTTCATTTAATATTATCCCAAAGCTGACAGATACAACTCCACTTAAGGAACTCTAGTCCCAAATACAGTTTACATATTTGGAACTAGAATTCCATAATGACAGTCTATCATTGAACTTTATACAAAATACAAGGAAATATGTTGATGTTTTCATGACCACTAGAGGACTCCCTTGGTACTTATTTTGTCTGGAATTCCAGGCATTTGCTGTAAGGGAGACGTGATACAGCTTGCCAAACTCAGACCTTAAGAGCTCTTTCATTTCTTCTTTGCATTGACAATAGTCCCAGCACTTTCAGAAGCTATCATGCTACACCTCTTTTTCAAAAAACAATAAGCTGAAGATAGTATGTAACATATGTTTGCCTTAGCTGGATTAATAACATATTTCACTTCTGTTTTCACTAACTTTAAACTCCGTGTTCATCATTAATGTAAGACTCATTAATGCATAGCAAACAATACTCACGTCTTCAGTGTGCCAGATGTCATAAGTTCTGTAACCAGAACAATACACTTCTTTCCCTTTACTGTAGATTCCCAGGAATCATAGAACCGAACAATGTTAGGATGCTGAAGTCCTTTCAGCATTTCTGCTTCCTCTTTAAACCGCTGCCGTTCTGATTTCGACAACTTCCGATCCTAAAAACGAAGAGCAAAAAAGCCTGCATCAAGGACTTCCAAGAGAAAGTTCAGGCATGAATATACAAAGATACAGGGTGACCCTTTGGGGAGGCAGTTTCCTAAAAAGCATGCTAGAGCTAAACCCTCGGTCAAACAACTACCATCTTATTTCTGAAGCAGATTAGGGTTAGTATTTGCCACATTTTAACATTTTATTTCTCTCTTTTTTATATATATACTTCATCATGGAACTTCCCCTACATGAGGCTCTGAGCTCAGTTCATGCAACATCCCTTCCTCTCTTCTTTTCTGAACAGGCACTGTTATCACAGTCTCATAAAGATATTCCCATCATCTCCCTCCCTGAGCCACTGTCACAATGGATGATTGACATTTTCTTCATTTTCCTGAAGTGTGCTGCAAAGTGACTGAAAGTGTTCAGCCATAGGGGATACACAAACCTATCACAACCTAGGCTGGTTTTTAAATCTGCTACAAAGGTCTTAATGACAGGGAAGAGACTCTTTCTGCTACATCTATCAACTTGAGCAGCAAAATCTCTTTGGCTAGCCTACAAACTTGAAATACTTGACACAGGCTTAGAAGTTACCAGAGACAAAGCTGCTGTTATTGCTGCTCTCCCTTCCACCTCCATGTCAACATGCAATACATGATCACTCTTTGACAGGAAATGTCTCCCCTAACAATAGGTAATCTAACTCCAAGAGCCATCCATGTTGAACAATTTCTGCCCTCCGGAACCAAGTATGTCCAAGCACACATTCAACCAATGACTTCATGTGGTTTGAGGTTCCTCCTTCCTAAAAATGATAATGATAATAATAATAATAATAATAATAATAATTTATTTCTAGACTGCCCTCTCTCCCCAAAGGGACTCTGGGTGATCCACAGACACAAAACAAAAGGCAAACATTCAATGCCTCAAATGAATACAAAAACTTCAAAATAAAACAAGATAATGCACAGAAACAACAGTAAACTTACAACAAAGACTTAAGCAAGAAAAGAAATTATATGCATCTTTTACAGGAAGATAACTACATTAGCCAAAGTCTACATGTATGGGAAACAAATGGCAAATGATAGATTTCACTGTCAACTCCCTTTCTAGGTACAACTTTTCTAAGGCAAAAAGAATTCTTGGTCAACAGATAAAATATAAAGATATGCAATATTCTCTATTTGCCACACATACTACCTGTTCCTCGATTTATCCAAGACTATCATTTAGTACCAAATAGGGATTGAAATTATCTTGAAAATCTGGCCATCCTTAAATGCTATACAGTCTTACATACAGCTCAATTCAATGCTATTCCTACTGCTGGATGGATAGTTGCTTCTAGGAAATTCCTTACAAAAATCATGTTTTAATTTAAAAAATAATAATTGCTGAATCGATACTTTTATATTGTTTACCTTTTATACAATGGCTATATTGTGTTTTGATGGTATAATTAAATATTGTATTGACCTACTTCTAGATTTATTACAGGCTACAATCCAATGCACACTTCTCACCACTGAAAAAAGAGGGTCCCAGCCTCAAGTAAACATGGTTAATACTTGCAGAGATTAAATATCATATACCAAATAATTCATCACAAGCATTTAAACTCTCAGTTGTCCCTTTAAGACACTGATTAAGGAGTCTTGAAAGTTTTAGAATATGCTTCCTATCTACTCAAAATCTAATTCAGTATAGGAAAATGGTTGTAAACTTTACCAGATTTCCACGTGTTCACAACAAAGGATATGAGGATGAAATGTACATTTTAATTCGTCTTTGTTTAAATGCCACTTAAACATTCAGTTAACTAAGATAAAAGTGTGACCCTATATTTGTTTATTCAGCAGTTAATCTCACTGACTTCCATGTGGCTTATTCCCCACCTCTACCTGGAATCTATGAGATAACAGAGATAAGATGAGTGGGAAAGTAGCTCAAGTTACCGATTAGTTCAGCTACTGCGTAATAAATACACACAGCAACTGGATGCAAGGACATAGTGTTGTGAATAATAAAAGTAGAAAGCAAGCCAACCTTATTTCACGAATGAATATTTTTTCTATATAAAATAATTCTTGATAGCTTGTACATATATGTGCACACAGCAGGAAGCAAAAGTAAGTGTAATTTCTTAATTTCCAAATGTTTGCTTGGAAATGATGAGCTGGCAATGGGCTAGAGAAGGAATGATAGCCACACAGTTCCTCAGATGTTGTTGGCCTGCAAGGTGCAGTCATCCAAAGACAACAGAATAATGGTGAGGAATACGGTATTACATGACTTCATTCTAAAATAGGAGATGTCCTTGAATGAAACTCAAAAGCTGCAACTATGGCAATATGCAGCATTTGCTGACTGGAAAACTATATAGACAAGATATAATGCTAGCCTCGAAAGAATTGCACTGGCTGCCAATATGTTTCCAGTCTGAATTCATGATGATTGACAATGACATTTAAAGCCCTAACATTTCAATACTTTAGGGAGTGCCTTGTCCCATATGCCTGTGCCCCAGGAATAAGGCCTACCATATAGACCCTCCTTTATCTCCCACCAGTGAGATCAATGCCCTATGCTGGGACATAAAGTTTAAAGCTTTTAAATCTGGTTTAAGTCATTATGGAGTCTAATATTATTTATTTATTTATTTATTTGCTATACTTGTATACCGCCGTTTCTCAGCCTAGCCGGCGACTCAACGCGGTTTACAACAACTTATAACAAACAACAGTATACAGTTTAAAGCATAAAAACACGATCCACAATACATATATCAATAAACAATCCAATTCATCTCTTGACTAAAATCGCGATCCAGTTTCGTCGTCCAAATTGCCAGTCCTTCAATCATTACACTTATTGCACTGAGTTAACCGAACGCCTGCTCGAACATCCAGGTTTTTAGTCTTTTCCGGAAAACCATCAATGAGGGGGCTGATCTTACCTCCATGGGGAGGGCGTTCCATAGCCGCGGGGCCACCACAGAAAAGGCCCTGTCTCTCGTCCCCGCCAGCCGCGCCTGTGAAGCAGGCGGGATAGAGAGCAGGGCCCCCCCAGAAGATCTTAGGGTCCTGGTGGGCTGATAGGCCGAGATACGTTCGGATAGGTAAGTTGGGCCAGAACCGTTTAGGGCTTTAAAGGCCAGCGCCAGCACTTTGAATTGAGCCCGGTAGCAGATCGGCAGCCAGTGGAGCTGGTGCAGCAGAGGAGTTGTATGCTCCCTGCACTCTGCTCCAGTTAGTATCATGGCTGCCGAGCGTTGGACTAATTGGAGCTTCCGGGCCGTCTTCAAAGGCAACCCCACGTAGAGAGCGTTGCAGTAGTCTAAACGGGATGTAACCAGAGCGTGGACTACCGTGGCCAAGTCAGACTTCCCAAGGTACGGGCGCAGTTGGCGCACGAGTTTTAACTGTGCGAATGCTCCCCTGGTCACCGCTGAAACCTAATTGAGTTCATTTTAATTATTTTATACTGATTAGCTTGTTTTGAAGCCACTTCGCGATGTTTTGATATAGAGTGGGTTATAACAATGATAACAAAGACAGTTTACAACAGAGGCCCTCAAACTTCTTAAACAGAGGGCCAGGTCACAGTCCCTCAAACTGTTGGAGGGCCGGATTATAATTTGAAAAAAACATGAATGAATGCACACTGCACATATCTTATTTGTAGTGCAAATAACACTTAAAAACAATACAATAATTAAAATGAGGAACAATTTTAACATATATAAACTTAATAGTATTTCAATGGGAAGTGTTGGCCTCCGTTTTGCTGATGAGATAGGATTGTTGTTGTGTGCTTTCAAGTCGTTTCAGACTTAGGCAGACCCTGAGCGAGGGCCGGGTAAATGACCTTGGAGGGCCGCATCCGGTCCCTGGGCCTTAGTTTGAGGACCCCTGGTTTACAATATTGTACTAGAACCCAAGACTCTATGAATGTCTTCAAAACCAGTGCAATTGTAGGAACGATGCTACCCCACCACCTCCCCAGCAGAAGATGAGAGGTAGGGATGAAGAATCAATTACAGGAATAGCAACCCAGTCCCAAACTTGAAACCAAAAAAGGTAGAAGCCTATCCCTGCATAAGATTACAAGCAACCTTTTACCACACAATTCCATATCATATGATAAATTGCTTATCAAAAGTGAGCCCAAAATGTGAACTCCTAAAATATTAATTTATCTATTAGACTAGCTTAGGTACATAGCAATGCCGGGGTTAGGTGTTTTGCAACAATAAACATAAAAAGCATTCATGATTGGGTTTTCAATTTTAAGAATGTACCCATTAGAAAATGTGCAAGAATGTGGGTAACTACAACTCCTATTATCATGTCATTGTTCCAACCACACAAATATTCAAAGTTGGGCATGTTGGGTGTGTGTGCCAAGTTTGGTCCAGATTCATTGATGGTTGGGTTCACAGTGCTCTCTGGATGCAGGTGAAGTATAAACTCTTTAAACTCAAGGTAAATTCTCTCTAAAACCCGTCAGTATTCAAAGTTGGGTATTTTAGGATGGTGCCAAGTTTGGTCCAGTTTCATTGTCATTTAGGCTCTCAGTGCTCGCTGGATGTATGTGAACTACAACTTCTAGCCTCTAAGGTCTATGCCCCCCCAAACCCCACCAATATTAAAAATGGAAATGTTAGTATGCATGCCAGGTCTGGTCCAGGTCCAGGTCAATCATTTGGTTGGGTTCAGAATACTCTCTAGATGTGAGTGAACTGTAAGTCCCACATACTAGGGTCAATACTCCTCAAACCCTTTCAGTATTTTGGGTATGTGTGCCAAGTGTGGTCCAAATCCATCCTCAGTGGGAGTCAAAAGTGGTCCAAATCCATCCTCAGTGGGAGTCCCTGGAAGTTTGAGCTGTTTTGAAAATCCATCACCCACACCATACCTTAACTTTAATTATAGATGCAGACTAATAGAATCTTCAAGATTATATAGAAGATGTTTTAATCATCTTATCTTTTCCT